ATATTTCATATACTTTCTTATATAGACTTTATAAAAGCTAAAATAAATTAAAGATAGTTATTAATTACTTAGTAGTAATTAATGCATATTTATTGGCTTCTGGGTTTAAATCAAGCAGGATTATTTGTTACTGATAGCTTTTTTGTTTGTGTTGGTCTAGAAATTGCCACTTTACTGTAGCAAACAATCTTATGCATTCCAAAACACAGTAAGGAGTAAATACAAAAAGTCAGTGAAGATTTTAATCTTAGCAAGACATTCAGGGAACTCATGGGGATTCTCCTTTTAATTGGAAATTAAATTCTAAGTGTCTTATTTACCAAAATGCACTAGGTTACACTGGTCTACTGATGAGAAAGAGATGAAATTTTCACAGTTAGGAAAGCTTATTTTGTTTTAAATATTTCAACATATTCTTTTTTTTATGTTTGAGAGAAAACCAATTTTTAAGACAAAACTAATGACCTGTTTTCTCTAAATTCAAACTTAAATTAACAATCCAAAAATGTATTAGTCAGACCAATAGTAATGAAACTGCTAAGAAAGGCAATGTCCTTGTCTATAATTAACATTCATTTCTATTATTAGCATCCACACAGCCAGGTAGCAAAAAAACAAGACAAAACACCCCTGAGCACTGGTTTGTCACCGGAGGCTGGCCACAGCTTGACCTGTTGCTGAAGGGCAGCTGCTCCTGTGCTCAGGGAGGACCTGTCACCCTCTCTAGCAGAGGTGGCTGCTCCCACAGTGTAAAGAGCGAAGGACAGCATGAGGCACAGGTCTGCTCTTCTGTCTCGCTGGCGCATGTGCAAATTAGGAACAGCCCAGCCAGGCTCCCTGACCAGGCCTGCTGCTGCTTCTGCAGGAAGGACCGCGGCCCTGGCCACCCAGTGAACATCCGGATGCCTCAGAGGCAGGAGGGGAGTGTGTGATGGAGGATGTGAGCCCCCACGCGTTCAGGCACAGGCCTACCACCCCCGTGCTGGCAACAGGAGCGAGGCTGGGAGCCTTCGCCAGCTAGAAGGGATGCAAAGATGCCTCTCCAGTAGCAAAGGGAAGCTGCGGTGCTCTATGCTGTGACCACCAGGGGCACCTTAGAGCACCAGGGGACAGGGCACCGGGACACAGGGGAGTCTGACACAGGCGCCTTGCACTCTCTTCTGAAACCCTCCATCCCCTGCATCGTTCTGGATCCATGTGATGAAACTGTGACCGGGGCTGGGGTGTGGGTGTGTTTATGTGTTCTGGGAGCGGGAGAAGAGCAGATAGGCAAGGCATCCTTTGTCAAAGCAGTGCTGACATCGGGGGCCTTGCTCTCCCCCTGACCCCCTCCTTCCGGCCCGAGTTAGAGAGACTTGGCAAGAAATCTCAGACATAATTCTGTAGGGAGGGCAGTGAGCGAAGTTTTAGAATCTAAACCTTGTCTCTTTAAGCAGATATTTCCCAGGAGTGAGAACTGAGGCAGCTGTGTCCGTCCTGCAACCTAACCGCAGGGTCACGGAGACTCTTCCAGAGGAGGGGGAGGGGAGCTAGGAGCCCCAGAGCTGCCGGCCCTTCACAGAGGGCCTCCACACCCGTGTAAGGAATCTAAAATAAATTACCCGGGGCTCCGAGGAGCACCTCATTCAGAGACCCACCTGAGCCTGGAGGGGGAGCCACTCACACAGCTGGCCTCGGGAAGGGGCTGAAGAAGTCCACCCGGGGGCAGAGGTGAGGGCCAGGCAAGGAACAGGGGCAAAGGATCCGCTATCACCTCGAATGGAAGGGCCAGACCAGCTCTGCCCTGAGAAGGCCTGGTTGGGCAGCACCACTGGCAGCAATGAGAGGGCATAGGCACATGCCCCCTGCTGGCCGGGGCCCGTGCTGGGCGAGCAGACTGCGTTGGGTGGTGACCAGGCAGGCGCATGCTGGTCTCAGACAGGAGCAGCCTGTAGGTGTGCCCCGGAGGGCTCATGGGCCTTCTAAGGGAGGGAGTGAAGGGCAGGTGGGAGGCTCAGAAACCCGGGGGATGATGGAGACCCAGGTCACTCTAGATAGAGTCCCGGGCTCTTCTAGAGGGTCCTGAGCAGGGTCTCCACGTCCCGGACCCCAACCTCAGTCTCTGCACAGCTACTGTCTTCAGAATTTAGCAGACCAGGAGGGTCTCAGTAAGCACAACAGGCAGGGCCAGCATGGCCACAGCAATGGCAGAGCGCTGCTCCCCTAGAGTCCGAGCGCCCCGGAGGCCGGGGTCTGCTCTGAGGAGGGTAGAGCCAATTTACAAAGCGCTGGGAGGGAAGCACAGCGTGCACTGCGGTCCAGCTCCGGGCGGCAGAAACTAGTGCTTCCTCCTCTGAGCAGCCTTTCTCTTCTTCTGTCGCTTCTTTTTTCCTATCTTTTCTTTTTTCCCCACTTTTTCTTCTCTGCGCCCCCTTAGATAAAATTAGTAGAACCATTAATGACGTTGAAATAAACAGGAGTCTGCCTCACTCTGCACAATATTAACACTGGCCCCTGGACTGGTGCCATCTGTCCTCAGGCCTGGAGGCCCCTGGGCAAGGCCGTGTCCATCAGCACCTCATTGAAATAAAGCAGACATTTGCCTTGATTCACAAAAATGCGAGGCTTCCCCACACCTGTGAACTGAGCACAGCAATCGCCAATTTGCCAGCGTGACCCTGGCTCCCGCTGTTGCCTGCGGCTTGCAGTGGGGAAAGGATTTCACATCTCAAAGGGTGTGAAGACTAACCAGGGCCAGGCTGGACTGCATCTCTGTCTCCCCCCACCTGCTTTCCCAGGCTCCCTTCCTTCTCAACACAGAGCTGAGCTCTCTGTTTAACGTGAAAAATTTCTGCATTGCACATCAGAGGCTCAAGCCCAGGGTTTAGTGGGCCTGCCAGGAGGAGAGAAGGCAGCAGCATCCCACCTTCTCCTTTCTGGACGCCTGTGGAGACCCCTGGGAATGGCTGAGATTGTTCTGAAGAATGAGGGAGAGAGCTGGTTAGCAGAATTTTATTAGAGCAACTGGCTCGTGACTGTCACATTAAAATGATTCAAGCTGAATGGTATTTAATGATTTATGGGATACGGCCACCTGTTCCTGGGAAAGGTTGATATGAACCATGGGCTGGAAGGATGGGAGTTGTACATGGGAAAATGTGAGAGCTGGATATTATAAGGGTTGAGGCTCTAGAGATTACGTGGGGATGTTAGGAGAACCGAGGAGGAGGAAGGGGAAGAGGAATTAGTGAGTCAAATATTATTCTTCAGAAAACTAGCACCGCTGCTTCCATTGGGTTAAAAACAAAACCAAAAGAAAACAAAAAACAAATGCAAAAACGTGAGTCGCAGATCGCATTTGCTCCTGGGCGAGGCCCGTGTGCTGGCTTTCACACGGGGACCCGGCAGGAGGGACCCACGGCACCTGACGCGCGGCCGGCGCAGCGTCACGAAGGCGGGAAACGTGTAAGAGCACCATGTCTCACAGCTAACGGGTTTACTTCAGGACAATAACTCCCACATACAGTAGGATGCTTATACCATGAAACAATTGGCATTTTATTGCTGGTGCATATAAAGTCACATTCGATACAATCTTCGTACAAGTGAAAAAATACACTGTGCCCAACATTGAAAAGCTTCCATCACATTTCTATGTATTTCTTTACAAACTGCCAGTAGCTTAAGATAATAGAGAAATGTCTACTGACATTCATATGGCTCCACTTCAAACGTATGAATTGTTTGACTATAAATATATTCTGGAATACATTTGTCTTATAAAGAAATGTTTTAAAAAGTGTGCACAAAAATATATAAAAAAAAATGCCTTGCAAAACGTTACAAACACCACCAGGCCCATCTGTGGATCACATTTAGGGGTGGAAATTTCACCTTGCCAGCATCTCGGATTGAGCTGTTGTGGCTTCAGGAGCAGGAGTTAGTGGTAAGAGGCGCTTTCATTCATTTAATTTGCACCTCAGGTTTCAGAAAACTTAGCATTTGCAGAGCCTCCGGGGCACACACATGCCTCAGAGGCAATCACTGAAACCAGATTCCTCCAAGAACGCTCTCAGGTTGAAACTGCATTTGAGTTTGCAGAGACTTGTCTCTCATGGGAAGGGGGGGCATGGGGTCCCACGCCCCGGGAGGCCAGCTCCGCTTTGGGGGAAGCTGGAGCAGATTCTCACAGAGGGCCTGAGCAGGAGGGAGGGCACAGGGAGGAGGGCGCTGCGGGCCACAGCCCCAGGTCACCCTCCTCCCCGAGCACGGAGGGAAATGAGAGCGAGCGGAAGCGAGGTGAAAGCATGCGCTGGCAGGAGAGAGGCCGGGAATGGCAGGGGAGGGTCTCTGAGCACAGTCCCCGGTGATGGCTGCTGTGTGGAGCCCGGAGGTCCGTGCCCTGCGCTTGAAAGAGGGGGTGCTGGCAGCTGTCTAGTACGGCCAGTGTCTGGGCGCTGCCCTGGGCCCTCATTCCAGGAGGGGTGCGCCCCACCAGGGCCCCCAGTCTCCCTCCATGCCTCCCCTTTGGAGGAAGGCCACGTTTTTGAGCTCCACGCTTGGCCATCACCTGACTGTGCCCAGACTCCCCAGGGGAGAAGCGGAAAAATCCAAAGCAAACCAAATACAGATATTAAGTAATCATTGATTTTAAAAGGGACAACGAGAATGATGGTGATTGTGATGATCACAGGGGAAGTGACTGGTGGAAAATGCTGTTGGGATAATACAATTTCTCAGAAAAACCCCAGCTGTAAAACAGCCAATGTGCAAGGGTCCGGGTGAATGAATATAAGCTGTGATATCGTACCATAGGCTATAAATGCAGATGTCTACATGCCGGGCAAACCTCCCGCCCATGCCCAGGCCAAAGCGCTGCCCCAGGCGCACACCTGGCCCTCACCACGCAGGCCTTCCTCCCCACGCCTCTGCCCTCTCAGGACTTTCACACAGGTTTAGCTTTCCTCCAGTGGCTCTAGTGGAAAGTCCTTTCTGGCGGTTGTGCTTACTTGTTTAAAGCTTTCTCCAGGTATTCCTGAATCCACTTCAGTTTCGGGTCGATGCACACTTGTCTGTTGTTGTTCTTCAGCTTGGCCCTGCAAGGACAGGAGAGGCGGGTGTGCACCTGCGCATCGGCTCACCCGCCGCCCACGTGGGACCCTCCCTGGAGCCAGGTGCTGGCGTGGCAGAGTCCCCATAGGAATCACTGGGGTTGGGATTTGAGGGAAACAGAACACAGAGCCTGAGAAGCAAGAGCAGGCACAGGGCACGCAAGGAGCCTGTGGCCAGATGTAGGGGCAAACAAGTAAGACCTTATCTGCAAGGTTATGGGAGCTTGTGAGGATAACGGGAGAGTACCCGCAGATTTTTGTTTTGGTGAATCACCTTGACGGTACAAGGAAGACAGAAATACACGTAAGCCCAGGGACAGAGTGGATGGAAGTTCAAATCTGGGTACCGCTGTGGGCTAATTCTATGTCTGCCAGACCTGAACTTGAGCCCAAACTTTAGGGCGGCCAGTGTTTCTCTAAGTCCAGAGGCATGGCCACTTCCTGTGCCAGAGGGAAGACACTTAGAAAGAAGAGGCAAGAGCCACTGTGGGCACAGAAGGGCACTGAGGGGCGGCTTTGGAAACTCCTGCCTGGTGCTCTAAGTCCTTGTGGTAATAACAGCTGCCTCTAAGTATGCCAAGTTCAAGGCCGGACACTTGGCATGTGTCATTTCTCTAGCTTCACCGAGTCCGCCAGTTAGGTTTCACTGTGCCCAATAGATCCAACATTTCCGGAGGATGATGCCCAGACTTACACAATCTGAAGGGCACAGTTTGGAGTGTTGAGGATTTTGAGATGCTTGACGTTGGCTCTTGCAACATGGCTCTCGAAGAATCGGCAAGGGCATCTGTAGCTCAGGCTGACCGGCTTCCCTATAAGAGGCAATAAGAACAGGACGGCTTGTTATTATGCCACCAGGCCTCAGAGACGCACACGTATCTGGGTGTGCAGCTGGGAAAGGATGGTAGAACGACGGTAGGATGGAGAGCAATGGGTGAGCCACCGGTGCATCCTGGCAAAGACCTCCTCCTTGGTGGGCTCAGATTCAACTTCGCCAGGGCCTGAGGCCAAGAGGACCTGTGGAGAGATGGACCCCAGGAGGAGGGAGGGTGGGAAAGCGACAATAAGCAGTCCCTGCTCAGATTTCTTAAGACAAAGGAATGTTAATAACAGGACAGAACTATTTCGTCAGAGGCACCGAGGTTCCCAGCTATTCTGTGCAAAAGCAACTCTCCAGAGCCACCTGGGGAAGTCTTCCCTGCTCAGACCCAGGTCCGAGAGCTAGCGCTCCTCCCTCCTCTGGCACAGGCCTCATCCCAGGAACATCACCCACTTCCTGGGATTATTGCCCTCCAGGACCCCCTGCCCCCTGCAGTCTTCTTGCCTCATTTACCTTAAGCCCAGGCAACCACAAAGGAATCCTGGCTGGCTTCCTACCTTGGAGTCCCCAGAGGACAGGACAAGGGCCTACTTCTTTCCAGCCCTTCCCAGAGGCATGGAGACTATGAGGGTGGAGTCAAATATGGCTTTCATTGCAGGGACCCTACGGCCTCCTGGGTTGTATTACATCTTTGTTTGCATATTCACCAATTTCCAAAATGCCATAATTGCCGCTCATTAGTGTAAATTAGCAAAGGGCTCCTGCCGAACCCACCCTTACCCTTTAAGTCTAGAATTGCAAGCCCGGGGAGGCTGGGATTTGTGAGGGTTTTTCCTGCAGATTTTATCCAAGCCCTACTTAATAACCCAAATTATTTGAGTTTGTGGATCCTTTCATCAGGGATTAAATATATGTCTGAGAATATTTAGTCCAGAGGCTTTTTTTTAAAAAAGTGTCTTGTTTACAGGGCTCCCAGAGGTCTCCCGTTGGTTCTGAGGTTGTGCACTTTGGGGCAAGAGAGCTGGGGAAGCCGCACGAAAGCTTGCAAAGTAGGGACTGCTTACATTTTTTTTTTCCTAAAGGCTGCATTCAGTTGAGAAACGGCATGGGGTGGCCAATTTAGCCACCAAGTCCTGGAAGAGCAGACCCCCTCCCCTAAACCACACTCAATGTCCTGAGAAACAGAAGGAAAGAAACCTGGTTCAGAGCGCTCAGTGGACTCAGGGTGCAGGAGAGCACGGAGCAGCCTTCACGGGGACCCAGATCAAACCCAGAAAGTCCCTGACAGAGCCTGGCTCTCAGAAACCACACAGACACCTCCCTCTGTCCTGCCTGGTAACCGGATCACCTGGAACGCAAGCCCGGGGCCAGGCTAGGCAGCCGGGCTAAGGCAGGAGCCAGGTCTCCCTCTGAGCAGCCCGCCTCCAGGTTCCCTAGAATTCTCATGGGTCTGAGCTGAGCAGGGGCTGGGGCCAAGGTGAGCCAGGATAGGGCTCAATCCTGGAGCAACAGGGAGCTGGAAGGCGCATTGTATGAGTGCTGCGGAGTCCAAGGAGGCGTCCTGGCTCCACGCGGGGGCAGGCCAGGCCTAGTCTGGATTCAAACACAGGTTTTCTCATTTGTTCCTCTCCCTCCCTTCATCCTCTGGGATCACCCATTCCTTCAGAGCAATTCTTATTCCTGCTCCCAGGACCCAGCTGCCTGTCTATCAAGTGGGGATTTTCAATAGTTTAATATTATTATTGTCGATTTTAGAGAGAAGAAGGAAGAGAGAGAGAGAGAAACATGGATTTGTCGTTCCACTTATTCATGCATTCATTGGTTGATTCTTATATGTGCCCGACCTGGGATTGAACCTGTAACCTTGGCATATCAGGACGAGGTTCTAACCGGCTGAGCTACCTGGCCAGGGCCTCAATGGTTTTTTCAAGTGACAGAGTCCAAGTGCACTTATGGAGAAAACTCAGGGCTGCGTCCACTGTGTCCTTTCCTACAGCTTCCTGTCACTATTCCTGACTTCCCCAACTGTTTTGGGTGTGACATCACATACAAGAAAGACACCTGACTAGCCCAGCTGTTACTGAGGGTTGGGACCTTCGCTTTATTTCAGAGCGGTTAGCAGAGCAACTTCCACTTTAATGAAAAGACAGACCCTGGCCAGACTCTCCAACCGAGCCTGGGAATGGGGCCCACCCCGGGTTTAAGCCCTGGAAGCTGGGACACCCAGAACACCAGCTTCTTGGCTGAGGTCAGCCAGGGAGGAAGGGCAGATCCCAAGCCTGAGCCTGCACAAGGGTATCTCTGGGAGCAGCTGTGTACTCAGCATCCAGACACGGGCCCCAGGAGTTTAAAAAAAATGCATCCTGGCCTGGGCATGCAAGGAGAAGCAGGCCAGCCTGGAGCCCAGCACTCTGGACTGGACACTTGGCTGCCATGAGGGGCAAGCGACCCCCCAGATCAGCGATGCCCAGGATTCAATGACCTGAGTCCCTGCATTCCAGTCCTTTCTGCAGCTAGGGCAGCAGCATTTATCTGGAGAGGGGTGTGTGGTGGCGCCTACACTCTCACAAGACCATTCAATTGTTAATTCCTAAACCAGAATGCCACCCTGACCTGGGGAGTCAAGGTGGAGATCCCAGCCTCGGATACTGTTTCATCAGGAGAAACTTTTAACTTGCCTTTGATCTGGTCCCTCTGCAGCTCTGACCAGCAACTCCCTACACTGTTAGAGAGCACTTTCCAGGGGTAGGCCAAGAGCCCATTAGCCCAGGCCCCCTGCCTGGTCCAGTTGCAAGCGCGCTTGCTCTCCTTACCCAGGCCGGCTCCCCCACCACAGCCTGCCAGGAGGCAGCAGGAGTCTTCCCCCCAACCCAGCCTAATGCTCCAAGCCTGCGTCCTGCACAGACCCTGGCGGGGCCAAGAGCACTCAGCATCGGTTCTCAACCTGTGGGTCGCAACTCCTTTGGAGGTAGAACGCGCCTTTCACAGGGGTCGCCTAAGACCATCCTGCTTATCAGATATTTACATGACGATTCCTAACAGTAGCAACATTACAGTTATGAAGTAGCAACGAAAATAATTTTATGGTTGGGTCACAACATGAGGAACTGTATTTAGAGGGCCAGAAGGTTGAGAACCACTGACTCGGAGTGTCCTTCGTCCCTTTGCAGAGCCTGTTGTAAACTTCGCAGCCAAGAACAGAACGGGCAGCAAGGCTTTACTAACATGGTTTTGTTTTTGTTTTTTTGCAAGTTTATTTTGGTTTGCAGCAGCGGCGGTGTCCTGTGACAGGACAGGGCGATTCTCTCACGCTTCAAAAGAAAAAAAGCTCTCGCTCTCCCGGTGAAACTGGACACCGCCTCGCACAATGGCCTAAGGCCTTGGCGATTGAACCTTGTGGCAGAGCCCATTCTGAGGTGGCCAGTGCCCTGGCTGCACAAAGGCGCATTTCTGCAGGTGTGTTTTGGGCACATGGGCAAATGCGACTGTGATGACCCCAGGGCCTCTCTAGAGGGACCCTGTGAAGAGACAAGGAGGCCATGGCTGGGTGCATGCCCAGGTTTGGCGCGTCGCTTCGGACCTCGGAGCTGTGTAGAAGCGCGGCCAGGTGGGTGGCGCAAACCCGACAGCTGCTCGCATACCGGGCGCCTGCAGAGTGAGCGCTGGCCGCTCGCGGAGGGACCGCCAAGCTGCTGCACCGGATCGCACAGCCTCCACAAGCGCTTTGTCAGGCTTGCAAAGAGCTCTTTCCTACACCAACCACCCGCCGATCGATCGCACCTCCAGCCCTTGAGCCCACCCGCCTCTGGAAAGCTAGCCGGGCGCGGGAAGACTCTAGCTCCGGGGTGGATGGGCAAGGGTCGGGTACCCCCGCCCCCCTCGGCTTCCAACTCGGTTCCACTCCCCTACCCCTCTCCGGCGCCCACTCAGAAACTCGCCCTCGGCGCGCTCACCCAGGTATCTGTCCTGCAGGACCTCGCTCTGCGCTCCCGCAACCCGAGCCCGGCTGCGAAGTGCAAAGCCGCAGCGCCCCGGCGCTAGGCTGCGCGCGGGACTCGACGCCGCACCCGGAGGGAGTGCGCCCTGCGAAACGGGCAGCGTCTTTCCCTGCAGAGCATGGGCCCTGCTCTGTAAGCCTGACTTGCAGTGAGGAACCGGGCGGCGCAGTGAGGCTGGCCTGAGGGCTCATGCTTGTTCCCCGCGCTCAGTGCTCAGATGGAGCCTTTGAGTGCAAAGGCGAGATCTGAATGAGAAGCAAAGAAAAACGAGGAGGAGCGGAGGGCGGAGGGCCGGCTGGGAAGGCTGCATCGAATGCAGCAGCTAAGAGTGTATTGTGTTTGGAGTGCAGGACCTCGAGGTGACCTCCTGCCCAGGCCCACTGCGGGGCCCCGAAAGCTCGGCCTAAGACGGCACGAGACCCTCTTTGCAGTCAGAGCAACTCCCTCGCGTCCCAAGCCCATGCTACTGCTTACTAGCCCCGCCTCAGTTTCCCCAACTGTAAAACTGGGCTCTAGGTAAGATGTGCCACCAAAAGGACGGAAAGGAGATCGCTCGTGGCTCTTACAAAGTTCAGCCCCTTGCGCCTTGGTCTTCTCAACTGAGAAATGGGCTACTCACAGTTTCTGGGGGTGAGACTGGGGAAATGGACGGAGAAGTCCTCGGTACTCATTACATGGAGGCCAGGAATAACTGTAAACCTCAGTGCTTCTCCCCCTCTCCAGGGAATGTCCTGCAGGACCCAGAGTGCTAAGAGGAGAAGTCCTTTCCTTTCTCCTCTGCCCTCCCCTGACACGCCGCTGGCATTGCCCTTTCTGGTGGGAGAACAGCAGGGAGGCGCCCCTGGCAGGCCACCGGCCCCTGTGGGCACTGAGAGAGCTGTGGTGGAGCGGGAAAGGGTGCAGCGGGCACCACTGGAGGGGTGGGGTGGGAAGAGCGCTGTTTGGGGCCTTCCTGGTGCCACAGGCGGCTCCAGCCATGTCTCCTGCCCTTTCCCGCATAACCAGATAGTGGAGTGGATTC